AATGTGATTAATTGTACAATTTGTAATGATGTATTATTCTTTTTATATGTTATGACATTTGCTTTGCTAATATTTTGCTTAGTCTTTTTTTTTTTCAATCCTCACCCGAGGACATGTTTACAGAAAGGAAGAGAGAAAGAAAGAGAGAGAGAAAATCGATGTGAGAAAAACATCAGTCAGTTGCCTTCCACTGGGGATTGAACCTGCAACCCAGGCGGGTGCCCTGACTGGGAACCGAACTGGCAACTTTTCAGTGCATGAGATGATGCACTGGAGCCTCTCCAGCCGGGCAGGGAGTCTTTGCACACGTGTTTGTGAGTGATGTGTTTCTGGTAATGTTTTTGTTAAGTCTTGGTGTCAAGGGTATGCCTGTCACAAAATATTTCCATGGTATCTGATCATTTTCATTTCTCCGGAAGAGGTGAGGTAAAACTCATATTAGTTTTTCCTTAAATATTTAGTAGAATCACATTTGAAACCATCTGGGCCCACAGTGGTCTTTGTAGGAACATTTTAAGTTATAATCTCAATTTCAGATTTTCTCTCTTTCGTGTTGTATTTCATAGAAATCTTTATCTAAAATTTTCAAAATGTTGGCATAGGTTTTTTGTAATATTATTTTATTCTTTGAATGCTTTATAAGGTCTGAAGAATGCTCTTTTATTCCTGACATACAGTATTTGCCTTCTCAGTACATCCCACCAAGGGTTTATCATTTTTGTTAGTCTTTGTAAACAATGATTTATGATCCTTCCATACTGTTTGAGTTTCCATTTCATTAGTTTCTGGTCTTGATTATTTCCTTTTTAAAAAAAAATTATTTGCATAATTTGTTCCTTCTATAACTTCTTTCTGATAAGTATGGCTCAGTGGTTAGAGTGTTGGTCTGCACATGGAAGGGTCAAGGGTTCGATTCCTGGTCATGGGTACGAACCTCAGTTGCAGGTTTGATCCCATGTGCACAATTGATTTGTCTCTCTCCTATCAATGTGTCTCTCTCCCTCCTTTCCCTCCCACTCTCTCTAAAATTCAATGGAAAAATACCCTTGGGTGAGGGTTAACAAAAAAAGAAATGCTTACTTAATGAAGTGTTGGCCTTCTTTTCTCCAGTATGTATTTAAAGCTATATACTGGGTGGACAAAAGGTCTACAGTTCATGTGGAAAATAGAACAATAATTAATAAAATTAATATAAGAATAAACTCCTGTGTACTCACAACTATAAACCTACTTTTGCCCCACCCTGTGTTTTCCTATTCCCGTGGCTTTAGCTACATTCCACAGGCCGTGCTCCCGTATACATTAAGTAGACCTTGCTATTAGATTTCTCCTTGACCCATAGAAGTATTTTAGAAGAAAAATAATTACCAAATGTGGGGGTTCTAATTATCTTTTTTGTGTTGATTACTAGCAGAACGGCATTATTACCAGAGAACATACTCTGTGGTCCTTTGAAGTGTGCTGTGATTGGCTTTACTCACTTTGGGGGAAATGCTCCTGTGTGCACTTGCAAGTGAGGCATCTTCTTAAATTGTTGGATGCACTGTTTTATATTTGCCCATTAGGTCAAATTATCTGTGTCATTCAGATGGTCACCTTACTGACTTTACTGCCTGCCTGGTCCATGAGAAGGATATTTTGAAACTTTACATAATAATTATGGATTTTTCTGTTTCTTATTTATTTTGACGCTGTATTATCAGGTGCCTTACATTTAGAGTTGTCACATCTTCCAGGTAAATTGAATTTTTCATTTTCAAGTGTCATTTATCATTTTCAGTGTCTTTATCTCTGGTAATCCTTTTTTTTACTGTAAAGTTTCTTTTGTCTGATATTTGTGTAACTTCTGTAGATTGTTAAAACTTACAGTATGTATCTTTTTCTGTCCTTTTATTTTTAATCTTTCTGTGTCTTTGTATTTAAGATCTGGTTAGGTTTTGTATCCACTCTGACATGTGTCTTTATCATTTAACTGGACTTATACTTGGGTTTGAGCCTTTTAATTTTTCCCACCTGTTTTAGGTTTCTTTTTCTCTCCTCTTGTGTTTTTTTTTTTAATCACTCCCATTTCCCCACTCTGTTAGCTTGGAGGTTATCTATTGAGTCTTTTACTTTTCTTTCAGTTGTTTATCCTAGAGATTACAGTAAGCAGCTGACTTAGTGAAGTCTAATATTGTTTAGTACCCTTCCTCTCTTAGAGTACATTTTACTGTTACGCCTGACGTAAGTTGCCGTTGTTGCTGTGTGTTGTACTGTTTTAAACTCAAGAAGACATTATTGTTAATGTTTTATGCAGTGTCCATTGCCCACATATTTCTCTCTTGCATTGCCCTCCACTGTACCCTGTATCTGGGATCTTGTATCTGGGACCATTTTGGTTTTGTCTAAAGAATGAAGAAAACATTTCTTATTCCCTCAGTGTAGGTCTGCTGGCGATTCCCTCCGTTACTGCTTGGTGACATGTAGAGAGTCATTCTTGAATCTGTGGCTTGATGTCTTTCCACAATTTTGGAATATTTTTGGCCTTAACTTCTTCAAATTTTGTTTCTACCATTCCTTCTCTTCTTCCAATTGCAAGTATATTGAAGAGATTCTCTTTATTTTCTGTCTCACGCCCTTTCCTCAATGTTTTCCAGCTGTTTTCCTTTCCATGCTTCATGTAGATCACACACACAAATATGTATACACACACCTGTCTTCCAGTTTAGCAAGTCTCTTTAGTTTTTTCTAAGCTGCTGTTAGGATTGCTTGTTGAATTCTTAATATTGATTTTTATAGTTTTTAGTTCCAGAATTTCCAAACAGTCCATTTTTATAGTCTCCAGCTTTCTGAAGTTCTGCATTTTGTCTTTTGTTCTGAGCAGGGGAGCATGTGGTTCTGGTACCTCCACTAGCTGGAGTCCATGTGTGTCTCTTTCCACTACTGTGTATTTTTTCATTTGTGTTATCTTGTTTTGTGCTTGGATATTTTTGCTTGTGTGTCAGAAATTCTCTTTGTACAATTACTTTAGGAACAATTTGAAGCCTAGGATGATATCTTCTTCCAGAGAGAATTTTAGGTTTGCTTCAGCCAGGGGCCTAGGAAGCACTAGAGCAAGCTGGGCTCTTCTTAGTCCAGTTCTGGTGGCTGATGTCTCTGAAGCAAAGCTGCAGCTCCTGGAAGGCCTGTCAACTTCTGGCTCACTCATTGTTAAGATGCAGTATTTTGGGTACTAACCCAAAGAGGGGGTTCATCATGGTTACTGTCCCTATAGCCCTGGAGGTTGGTTAAAAGTGCCCCCCGGTCAACCTTCTAAAACAGTCCCTCCATCCCCTTCCTGGGCAAAAAAGACCCAAATGTCTTTGTGTTCCTCCTGGTCCAGCAGTTCTCCCTGGTCTTGTTACTCCGCCTTCAAGCAGATGTGGTCGGTATTTTGTCCAGCTTTTTCTCGTTGACCTCAGGCGTTGGGTTGGCCCCGTACATAGTCCAGCGTTACTGAAGTGTGTCTCTTTCATTCTGTCAGGTACACGTTTATATTTATAGTTTTGTCCATCTGATGAGTGAGAAGTATTTTACTGTTCTAATTTCCTTGATTATTAGTAAGGTTGAGCAATTTCTCATGTATTTTTTGGCTGTTTTTTCTTTTTTCGATTTATTTGGTTTGTATCTTTTTTGGGGTCTTTTCTTTTTCATATGGATCTAGCACTTTATAGATTCTTGATGTTGATCATCTGCTGTACATTGCAAATGTTTTCTCCCATTCTTTTATGGGTCTTTTACATTTTATTATGACTAGATCATATGAAAGATTTTAATTTTTAGGTATTCAGATCTTTTATGGCTTCTGGGTTTTATGTCTTGCAGATCAGGACACAATAAGTATTTTATAATTTGTTTTTTACATTTGTCTCTTAGTAATTCTTGAACTGCATTTGTTATGTATTTTGTGAAATATCTGATTTCTTAGCTAAATGAACAGTGTAAGGAGAGGGGCTCCTTTTCCCTTCTCCTTGTAAATTCTACAGGTTTTTCAATCCCCGAGAAGGGCAGCGAGTGGGCCTGAGGTAGCCTGCTGTCGGGGTTCTCCCTGCACCTCCCACCCAGTCCTGTCTTAGGAAGGTGGAGCTGGGATGTTTTCTCAGGGCGGGTCCTCCTGGCTGAGGCACGGAGGGTTGTGGCTGAAAGGGAGACAGGTCATGATCTGTCATCACACAAATGAGGCCAGTGATAACATGTAACTAGTTTGTTTTTGTACAGATGAGAACTGTTCAGTCTAAAAATTCAAATGGTATAGGAAAGTTCCAAGAAGGAGGAGGAAAGAATGCTCCAGGCTTCCGCTCCAAGAAAGGCAGCCCCCTTTCTGATCTGCGTCTCACACGGGAGGCCACTGCTTCCCCCGGGCAGCCCTGCAAGCCTCTGTGCACCGTCGGAGCCGGCAGCCCGGTAGCGCTGCTCAGGCCAGTAGTTCAGAGCTACATGTGCTTGCAGCCTGGTATTAAGAGCACAAACCTCAGAGCCACAGCACCTGGGTTTAAGTCAAGCCCTGTTATTGCCCAGCAGTGTCTCCGTTCCCTCACCCATTAGCTAGGACACCAGCATTGCCTGCCCCTGGGGTCCTGTGGGTTGAAGTGACTTAACACACAGCCTGGCGACACGATTCCAGCATCATGCTGGGTGTATATGGCCTGAGGTGCGTTCTGCTGCTCAGAGCGGACCTTGGCGGGTATCTGCACCCCCCCCTTGTTTGGAGTGATGCTCGCTCCCTGTCAGTGTGGCCAGCACAGCAGCTGAGGCAACTTCCTGCTGCTGCTTCTAAGGCCGACTGTGGTCGCCTTGCTGAAGACAAACCCAGGGCTCAGAACCAGGGTCCCCACGCTGCCTGCAGTGAGAGGCCAGAGGGCACGGCTTGCCTCCGAGGAGCCTTCGGGCCTACAGCTTCCGAACAGGCCGGGTGCTGTGGCTGGCTCGAGGCCTGGCAGGAGGAAGCGCACGGTGCCGAGCTGCCCTCTCTTCCCCCGCAGGTTCAGCAGTACCGGGTGGCCATGACTGCAAAGGACTGCTCCATCATGATCGCGCTCTCCCCGTGTCTGCAGGATGCAAGGTGAGGTGCCCACAGGGGTCACACATGGCTTCAGCCTAACAGGACTTTGTGGATTGAGAAGTCAGTTTCCCCATATTTAGAGACCACAGGTTATAATTCAGTCAAAAAGACACGGAGAAAACTTTAAAAGATTGTTCTGTTAAATTGAAGATTATTATTTTCTAAGGAAACACCCTAAGGACTTAGAAGCAGTTTGGGTACTGTGGCACAAATTCCTTCCTCTCAGAGAAACCCTAAGGCTCCTGCCACTGCTCTGAGGCCTGAGGTGCTGTAGGTCCCATGGACCTGCTCCTCTGCCTCCACCAGGCCGACATGGGACCTTCATGGTCGTTCTGGTCTTTGAAACAACACGTGCATTGTTCTGCTTCCTATCTGCAGTATCTCTGTAGACATTGAATTGTCCCGTCTCCTCCCCAGTCGTTTTTAGGCACTCAGGATGAACCCGATAACCTTCCCTTAGTAGGCAGGTGGCATCTTCAGCCTTGATCTCCAGGGTGCAACCCCACATGGTCACCCTTCTGACACATCCTGGGTCAAGGCGGCCTGGCTGCTAGTGTCTGGTTTTCTGCTTTTGAACTGAATATTCCCAGGAGTCCTGCTGCTGGACAGGCACAGAATTGTCTATTTTCTGATAGGGACACTTCATGGAGGGACATTGAGAGGGTAAAACTGAAATACAGAAAAAGGTTGTTCTATTCAGTTGAAAACCCCCCATTACCGCCAAAGAAAGTGCCCCCAATGTTTAGGTATGGGGACTCTGTTTGTGGGTCAAGCTAATGATTGATGTTGGGTGAGAGGAAACCACACAGATGCTACAGTCACCCGCCTGCCTTACGCAGGGGTGCAATCGGGGTACAGAAATGTGAGGGGCAGAGGGCCAGGGCCTGATACCCTCAATAAAACCCCACACATTGGGATAGGAGCCTGGTCATGTGTCCAGAAAGTTCTGAAACACGTGGGCACCAGGCTCAGCTGAGGGTGGCCAAGTGTCGCGAGGTGTCAGGAGCCACGGCCTGGGCTCATGGGGAGCTTCTGGTAGACAAACGGAGGGGCAGCCCCCCAGCCATGCACCCACCAGCTGCCATGGGGGGACTCACCTCATGTTGGTGGGTGCTACTTCTAAGTGAGAAATGGAGGTGTCCTTTAAAATGTGTAGCCCTGTTGAGGGCTGGAGACATGGACTGTCCCCAGCCCAGCTGCACTGAGCTTGGGTTTTAGGCCCGGAGAGGAAACTGAAGCAAGACCTTCGTTTGCAGACATGCTCTCTGCAGTTCAGGAGGGAGCCCTGGCTTCCTTCTCGCCAGCTGTATTTCAGAGCAGGATTTAAGTCAGAGTTGAGGCCTTGATTAGCCTCATCTAGACAGGAACATGTTCTCTGGCTTTCCTTCTCGTGCGCAGCAGCTTTTGAAATTGGTGTTTTGACTTTTTTTTTTAAATATATCTTTATTGATTTCAGAGAGAGGGAAGGAGAGGGAGAGAGAGAGAGAAACATCAATGATGAGTGTCATTGATCCAGCCTGCAACCCGGGCATGTGCCCTGACCGGGAATCGAACCCCAATCGCCTGGATCCCAGGTCGATGCTGAACCGCCGAGCCACGCCGGGCTGGGCTTGACTTTTTTTTAATGATTTCTAAAAAGTAGTGAAGGGGAAACCAGGACTTCTGACCACTTCCCTTCAGCCACACTGAGCTCATCTAATGCACTTCACCAGTCACCTGGGTGCAGACTAGACCAAGCGCTCACAGCTCCGCGGATACACAGCAGCCTTAGGACAAGATTCAGAATTAGTCTCAAAGTGTTTTTAAGGACACGTAACTGTTCAAATATTGTTAAAAGCGTGACTCTTCCGATGTTTAAAAAAACCACAAAACTAAGCCCTAAGAAACAAAATACAACACTCTGCAGATAGGACTTGAGACTAAAACACCACCCAGCTGTGAGAAAGCATGAAGGAGCCAGGGCTCCACCAGATGTGGGGAGGGCGTGTAAGAGAAGCCTGCTTTCAACAGTTTTTCCACCTGGCTGTTGAAGGGCCAGATCTTTCTACTTTTTCTCAGGTTTTGTAATAGCTGGCCCATGATACAGTCTATTTTTCAGCACCTTTACCACTGGGATATGGGGAATGTCACAAGTATCCTGTGTAATTGGTTTTTCATCTTTCTGCACATTAACCCTCTCTTACCTGGTGTGCTTGGCAGGTCTCAACAGAAGCTTCAAGTGCTGGTGCACACCGCGCGGACAGACAGAGATGGGATGCGTACAGACGCACAGAACAGGCACTCTTTGTGAGCAAGGGTGGGGGAGTAGGGAGCGAGACTGAAACGGCTTTTCTGCTTTCAGCTCTGACCAGAGGCCTGCCGTCCCGTCGTCGAGGTCCAGGTTTGCCTTTTCTGCGTCTGTGCTGGACCTCGATCTCAAACCCTACGAGAGCATCCCTCATCAGTACAAACTGGATGGCAAGATAGTCAACTACTATTCAAAGACTGTACGTGCCAGAGATGCCGCCACGATGTCAACGCGGTTCAAGGAGAGTGAAGACTGTACATTAGTTCTGCATAAGGTCTAACTTTTTCCTGTGGTGTCTTTGAAACTTGAACATAGAATGTGAAGGTTGAACGCTAGTGCTCTTTTGTGTTGGGTGACTTGGCTGTGAATGTTGTTGCTTTCTAACCACTGTTGGGGGGTGCTGCTCCTGGGACACAGACTGGAGGAAACACCTCCAGGACCAGGAGTGCCAGGCGTGAGCCCTGTGGCGTTCTGGGTCCTGGAGGCCTCTCTGGGCAGTTTTCCTTCCCACCCAAGGCTCATGTCTAATCTCTAACGCAGGTTCGGATCTCATACCACCAGACTCCTAACATACAAAACTTGAATTATCACGTATACCTTACATTTGGCCTTTAAGAAAACGGATCCTACTGGAACTTCCCCAGCTGAATTACTTGGCCACTTTTTTTAAATTTTTATGTTTTTTTTATTGATTTTAGACAGAGGAAGGGAGAGGGATAGAGAGAGAAACATCTATGAGAGAGACATCCATCGGCTGCCTCCTGCACGCCCCCTACTGGGAGTCAAGCCTGCAACCAGGGCATGTGCCCTGACAGGGAATCGAACCAGTGACCTCTTGGTTCCTGGGTAGACGCTCAACCACTGAACCACATGGGCCAGGCACACGTCAGCACAGGCTTGGTGGTTCCTACTGCACAGTGATCGGTTGTTGGCACAGATGTCAGTCCTGAATAGTGTTGGCTCGGGGTCCTGGAGGAGGTGCCACATCCACCACTCTGCACAGGACCAGCGGTGACCAAGGGACTCGGGTCGGGGGTCAGCACCACTCATGCAAGCATTGACTTTCACTTTCTTTTATTTTCTGATTTTGTCCTTGACGTTAGGGGAGATGAGGTGTTTGTTTGCCTGAAATTGCTGCTGTGGACACTGGAAGGAAGCAGCTGCAATGCTGAGCTGCTGACCAGGGTGGGCGCCCCAGGGCAGCTGTTCCTCCCAGCTCTGTGTTCATGGTGTTCTGGGTGTTTGCGGAACCTCTCCCAGTGTTGCCAGAGCCAGCGTTGTTTCCCTCCTCCCTCGGGCTTCACGGAGATGGGTGGTGTGTTGCTCCGAGTGCTGCTGGGCCGCCTCCCTACCAGGGCTGCCCAGGCCCTTCTTAGGTTCTCGGTGGGCTCACCCTGTGGGCCCGGCTGCTGTGACACTGCTGGGAACCGGGCTTCAGCTTCTATTCTAGAGTAGGTTGTACAGACTAACTATTTATATCATCACTTTGAGGGATTAATGAAGGCTTACTGTAATATAATATTGTAATATTAGTGAAACCGTGGAATTATATGAAAATGCTACATGAAAAATGAGACTATTTTGCTGATTGTAAATTTCTGTGGAGAAATTTTGTGATAACTTGAGAATTACACCTGTTTGAATTAAGCCAGTTTTTCAAGAATTTATTCTTTAATTCTGTCCTAACATTTACTTCTCACTTCTGTATTCAGAGGGTCAAAAAGATAGTCAAGTGACTCGCATCGCTCCTGTCAGTGTGTTGGGGTCTGGAGGCTCTGGAGACCCCACCTGAAGGGACATGCACAGAGCTGTGTTCTTGTGGGCGAGTCCCACGTGTGGGAGGGAAGCAGCTGTCAGTGTTGTTCTGGCTGGAGGATTTCCTTGTTGCTGGCTTGGGACAGGGGAAGGAGTGGGTGGGAGATGACAAAGGCATGCGGTCCTCCCCGGCACCCCGTGGGCCGAGGGTCCTAGGTCCCCGTGCACGGAGCTCCAGCACCGCACCCGAGGAGGGCCGCGCAGCCTCTGGGCCTGTCCTGGCTGGACCAGGCAGTTTGGAGCCTGGGGACGAGGGGACAGGACTGCCCCAGAGGTGGTCTCGGTCCAGCCCTTTGCTGTTCATTCTGCCACAGCCACTTATGTCACTGGTGGCCGTTTGAGTGAAACCGTGTTCCCACCAGTTCTGACATTTTAAATGGTGACCGAGGTGAGTGCAGCACGAGGCTCTGGGCGTAAAGGAGGACCCGGCGCGGAGGCCGGCGGGGGGCGGGCAGGCCTCACCGTCTTACTCGTTTAAGCTCACACTCGCCGTTTTGGGGACAGCTAAGAGTGAGTGTCAGGACTTGCTGAAAGATGCTGCTGATGCCTCGAGTGCTGCTCTCCCAGGGGTCTGAGGAATGTCTAGGAAATGAGGCTCCAGAGCCCCAGATGGGTGCTGCCTCTGCCCTCTGCCTGGGGGCGGGAGGGGCGCACAGCTGCTCCCCTCACGTCCGTCTTTGGCATTTTGTATTTAAATAGCTGTATGTACTTTTCATGTCCTGACAGTTTATATATAACATGTCACAACTGCACAGACAACATGTTCTAAGGGTATGGTTTCTAAGTGGAAAATAGCAAATGTTTATATTCAATAAAATCAAACGCCTCCTGGGGCAGCACCCGACTCCTACGTGTTGCCGTGTCGGGAACTAGTGCTGTTCCCTGTGCATAGCGATCGTATCAGGCTTTCCAGAGCCGCCTCTATGCCCAGCACGCCCAGCAGGGTTCGGAAGCTGAGAGGAGCAATTTCTATTACTCCCTTCTTGTCCCACTCCAGGGCTGTAAAGAAAACAAACTGGGTGAGAAGCTTCACTGAGACTCTCCCCTCCTCCCCGCCCGGCTGCCCTGGGTCATGGCTGTGAATGCAGCACTGACTGGGACCCCCACCCCCTGCACTCAGCCCAGGAGGGCTTCGGGGGAGCAATCCCCCCACAGGTGCTTTTGAAGTGATTATTGATCAAAATATTTAAAAAACTGATATAAAAAGTATGATGAAATTTCCAACTTTTGATTCTTGCCTGCTGGGCACACTAAGAAGACACCAGAACACCGCCGGGGCCCCTCCCTACCTTGCTGCGGCACCTGGGTGAGAAGATCCAGCTTCGGCAAAACCTTCCCTTCTTCATCTATTTGTACCCTCCAGACGACGGCTAATTCCAGCCTGAAAGAGGTAAGGGCCGTCCCTAGGTGCCCTTGAAACCGGCTGGAGTGCACTCGCCGCAGGCAGGAGGCCTGCTCGGCTGGCCCTGTGCCTAAGGACATCCCGCAGGTGAGAGGACGTGCTGTCCATTAGTCAGCAGCAAAAGGAAAGTGGAAATGAAGACAGGAAGGCACTGCTTGTACCCCTAATGTTAGTGACAATAAGAGTGAGTATAGGACTCAGAGCAACAGAAGCGACGTTTCCTTGGGAAGTAAGTTGGTAAACTACTTTGAAAAGAATTTGCTGGTGACAGAAAGCCGAGTCTGTCCTGTGATCCAGGATCTGCACTTCTAGGTATATGCCTGAGAAGCTTGTGTCCTCGGGGGCCAGGAGACATGAACGGGACGTCAGAAATGGTGGGACACTGAATAACCCAAGTGCTCAAGACATGCAGAAAACAAACAGGACCTCTGCCCGCTGGGGTAAGCACTGAGGGGCCAGCTACAGGTACCCCCAGCTGTGAATTACGGGAATGTTTTATTACCAAAAGGCAAGTCCCACGGCCTACATAATTATGACACCAGCTTAAGGCTTGAAAACTGAACACTGGTAGGCACGCACGTGCAGGTCATCTGAGTACATCATTCCAGGCAGATCTCCACGCGCACATCCGGGGCGGCCATGGCCACGGAGAGGAGACCCGATGGGTCCTCCGTCCCTCAGAGCTCGCTGCCTCCTGAACTTTAAAGTTGATCCAAACACCACCACTTCCTGGCCTCTTCCTTGGTCCCCTCAGGACCCCTGCAGTGCAACCTGCACCCGCTGGCCTGTTGCTCACCCGCCAGCTGAGCAGACATTTACTGTCCCCACGCTCCCCTCCTCCCTTACCCTGCGAGGCCCCTTCCTGCTGTGCCGCCATCAGCCACCTGTCTGATTCTACAGACACTTCTCAAGATGGCAGGAGTTTACATCTGTGCTCTACTGTTTGTAACCCTCGTTTTTCACAGACGGGAGACACCATCTGATCGCTGGGAAGGGACCTGGCCAGCAGGGACAGCCCGGGCCCCACAGGGCATCTGCACTCACCCTGGATGGCTGGCGCTCCGGATCCCCATGCAGCTGGAGGAGGCCCCCTCCGCAAGGTGCACAACCTCTGGGTACTTTTCCTGTGGAGAGAAGAAAACTTATTTTTATTTTATTTATTT